AGAAAAATAAGAGACAAACAAGTGTGGAGATATATATATATATGAAAAACAAAAATATATGATGACTTTCCTGACAACCCAATATTTGTTAAGCATTTATCTGTTATAACAACCTTAGGAAGGTAGGTGCTATCATATTTCTTCTACAGTGCCACCAACTATCAATATAAGAAACCATTATTTTATAACTACTGAGTAAAAACATTAGTAATTAAGTGATGACATTTGTCACCAGTAAGATGCACCCTGATCCCAGAGGTGTTCAAGAAAAATGTACGTCTTAGGCTAACCATAGCATTTAGCATTTACTTTGACATCTACAGACAAGTTCATAAACTTATTCAAGCTCATACTATCTTATGCGTTAGAAAATGTCCTTCAAGTCAACACTGCTTATATTTGGGTCTCAAAGAAAATGCTCCCTATTTGGTTCTAAGTTCTGACCTTCAAGAGTTTTAATCTTTGAAGAAATAGTTGTTAGGAAGTAGTACTGGGTGGCTTGTATTACCTTGTCCTCTTATTTTCTCGAATGTACCAGACAGGAATGTGTTTTCTAAAATACTGATCTCCCATAGGACCAGACTCTGGCTGAGCTGCAAAATAACATGATGCTAGTAAAACTGGACCTTCGGAAAAAGGCAGCATGCATCGCTGAACAGTATCAAACTGTGCTAAAACTCCAAGGCCAGGCTGCTTCTGCCAAAAAGCGCCTTGGTGCCAACCAGGAAAACCAGCAACCAAACCATCAACCCCCAGGGAAGAAACCATTTCTTCGAAACTTACTTCCCCGGACACCCACCTGCCAAAGCTCAACAGACTGCAGCCCTTATGCCCGGATCCTCCGCTCACGGCGCTCACCTTTATTAAAATCTGGGCCTTTTGGCAAAAAATACTAAGGCTGTGAGTGAGGAAGCAGAGTATAGTCACTGCCCTGAGGTGGGCTGGCTGTTCAGCTTAAGAAATAAGTCTCTTTTAAGCTTTACCTTTTACCTGGAACATTATCCAGAATGCAATACTCAAATACTAGTTGTTTTTCTCTTATTGTATTATAATCACCTATGTAATCTCATGGTTTTTTACTTATATGTTTTCTATGCACACAAAAATGTTATATTAAATAAAAAAATTATTGTTCACATTTTTATTTGAATTCCAAATTTTGCAAAGTTATTTAAACAAATTATAAAAGGGGTAGAAAAAAATTCTTAACCAGGCATCATACCAGCACACTAGTAACTAGTGTATAAAAAATTAATTTGGAGGCTGGCATGTGGCATAGTGGTTAAGGCGCTGGACATTCCCACATGGCTGACCACGGTTCGCATCCCAGACCCGGTGGCTTGCTTTCTCACTTTTCTCTCTGTGTGTCTTTTTCTGGTCAAATTAAACTAAGAAATAAATGAATAAGTAAAATTAATAATTCCTTTAGAAATAAAAAGGAAATGAATCTAGGACCAGCAGGTGTCATGGAGGCTAAGGTCCTGGACTCCCACGTGGCTGACCGCACATGGATCTGGTGGCTTGCTTTCTCATATTCTTTCTCTCCAAATTAAAAATAATAATAGTAAATACATAAATTTAGAAAAAAGAAATTCAAGGGACCAGCAGGTGGCATAATGATTACGTTGCTGGACTCCCACGTAGTCAATTGTGGTTTGAGTCCCAGACCTACACTGGGCACATGTACATGCATGCCCAAAAATCCCAAAAAAGAGAATGGAGAAGGGATTGCAGCATGGCCATCCCCTCAGGATAAGTTCTCGCTTTCTGTGCCTTTCCGGCAAGCGCACACCCTATAGCAAAATCTCTTAAAAAAAAAAAAAAGAATTAAAATGGAATTAGGTATCCTAAGACTTCCCTTAATATAAAATGAAGTGTCATACACTAGGAGATGAATATATAACAAACATGTTCTGGGAACAAAAATAAAGGTGGGCTGAACCCTGAGTTCATAATAATCCGTAGCATGTACTATACAAATCTTTATTTTTTTAGGCTTTTGTACATGTACTTGTCAGAAATAGAGAGAGGGAAAGTGAGAAATCATCCCCAAGAGAGGACAGCCACACCACAATCCTTTCTCCATTCTCTTGGGATTTGGGGCATATACACACATGCCCAGAGTGACTCTCAAGCTGCTGGGTCCAGGACCCAAACCACTGTTGGCCATGTGGGAGTCTAGAGTCTTAACCACCACACTATCTGCTGGCCCCATACTATACAATGTTTTTTTTTCCAGGACATGTACACTCACTAGAGAGAAAAAAAGTGAGAAATCATCCTATAGAGGGTATGGCCACACCACAATCCCTTCTCTAATATCCTCTTGGGATTCTGAGCACATGGGCATGTGCGCCTGGCAAGGCCAGCGGATCCAGGACTCGAACTGCAGTAGGCCATGTGGAAATCCAGCGCCTTAACCACTATACCACCTCCTAACTCCAGGAATTGTTACAGCAGACATTATAGTCATAGCATACTACCTCCAACTGAACTCCTACGCACAGCCTGAATCCTTTCAAGAACACGATTATGGTTCCCTTTATCTTATCTAGATAAAGACTGAAAAACCATATGTGGTGATGGGGGGAAGGACAGTTAACACTTTAAAAATTATTAAAACAGACCAGTTTAAAGTGAGTTTATTTTTATCTGAATATTCACAAAAGTTATTTCCAAATGTCCATGAAATTTTCTGTATTCTTGCTTTGCTTTTGTCGGGGTATAGCTAATGCTACAGCCATCTTTTGTCCTCAGAAAGGGCCATCGGCAGTTCCATGCCAAGTGAGATTCTTTCTGCCCTTTTTTTTATTCAACTCTAAAAAGTTACTTTCAATTTGAAAGCTTTTAGAAGACTCCTCCTCAAAACTGTTTTGGAAGAGTATCTCTCTAGTTAAAAACAGATGTATAGCTCCACTCCATTTAAACCTAATTAGAAAAGGGGTCATGCTCAGCAAATCCAAAAATGAGGTCATTTCTATGCAGTGTCCTGACCTCTTCCTGGGGTATTCAGTGCCCCCAGTGCCAGCAGAAGGTAGAGTGGCAAACTTTCCCCCTCCTTTCCTTTCTCCCAGTCTCAGCAGCATCAAAACCTTATTCTTTTAGTAGCAATACCTGGCTAAAGTGCTGTAAAGGGATGTTTCTGGGTGGAGCAACGGCTTTGGAAAGAAAGCTAAGTTCTCTTGCCACTCTGAAGAGAAGGGAGATAGAAGTGCTTTTTACCGGCAAGACAGTATCTGTTCCTGCCAGTATTCTTCTGTCAGTCTGCCTCCATAGATGGTAATATAAACTGTCCGCAAAGAGCTGTTTCTATCTGTAGAAACAAGAATTGAGTCCTTGGAAGGACAGACGATGCAGTTCTTTACATGGATGTAAGGCTTAATATGTGTCTAACAAGCTGGCTTGAAAGCAGCCGACTATGGTGTAACAGAAGATAAGTTGAGTGGAGAAACTCTGCGTGTGGGAGTATTGTTAGCAGAGAGTGAAGCAGGGAGGAAAAATGGAGCAGGCATCTCAGTGGTGGGAGTCTCGCCTTGGTTTCGAAGCTGAAGAATCTGCCGGAGCAAGGCCTTACCTTCTTCCCGAGTCTGAAACAAAGTCAGGAAACTTTTTCAAAATGTGCCCAAGGCAATTCTCAAAAACAGGCTATAGAGTCACTGCTATATAGGTTCCACACATCATTATTCATCTTCCACCCCCAAATCATGGTAAAGATCATATGCTCTAGGGATCAGTGGATGGCAAAATGGTTATGTGGCTAGACTCCCATGTAGTCAACCACAGTTCAAGTCCCAAACCCAGAAACTTAAAACTCACACCGAGCACCATGTGCATGCATATGTTCCCAAAATCCTGAGCGGAGAATGGAAGAGACGGGATTACAGCATGGCCATGGTGGGTGATTTCTCGGTTCAGTCTCTACCTTTCTGGCGAACACACGCACCTTACAGCAAAAATCTCTCTAGAAATCATTTTAAAAAGGAGCCGGCAGGTGGTGTGGTGGTTAAGGGTACTGGACTCCCACATGGCTGACTACGATTCAAGTCCTGGACCTGGCGGCTTGTTTTTTCACTTTAGCTCTCTCACTCTGTTCCTCTCTGGTCAAATTAATATGAAATAAATGAATAAGCAAAAGCTAAATAAAGTAATTCTTTAAAAAATAAAAATAATAATTTTTTAAAATAGTATATGCTATAATCTAAAATCCCTTATTAAAAATATGATACTTGAGGGACCAGCCGGTGGCATGGTGGTTTGGGGCACTGGACTCCCATATGGCCAACCATGGTTCAAGTCCTAGACCTGGCGGCTTCCTTTCTCACTTTCCCTGTCCCTCTTACTCTGTCTCTCTCTGGTCAAATTAAAATAAATAAATAAATAAAAGTTAAATAAAATAATTCTTCAAAAAAAATATCTGATACTTGGAACCAGTATATGGTGTAGGTGTTACATCACTGGATTCCCACACAGCCAACCACAGTTTTAGTCCCAGACTCGGTGGCTTCAAACTCATGCTGGGCACGTGTGTATATATGCCCAAAATCCTGAACAGGCAAATGGAGACAAAGGGATTGCAGCATGGTCATCCCCACTAGGGTGTGACTTCTTACTTTCTTTCTCTCTGTCTCTCCAGTGAGCACACATACCCTATAGCAAAAATCTCTCTCCTAAAAATATAAACAAAACAAAAAACAAACAAAAAAAGAACAGCAATTGGCATAATGGCTATGTCACTGGACTCCCATGTAGTTGACCAAGGTTCAAGTCCGGACCTGGTAGCTTAAACTCACGCTGGGCGCATGTATGTGCGTACCCAAGATCCCGAGAGGAGAATGGAGAAGAAAGGATTGCAGCGTAGCCATCCCCTCTGGGAGGGGGGAGGGTGTGATTTCTCACTTTCTGGCTCTCTATCTGGTGAGCACATGCACCCTATACCAAAAACCTCTCAAAAACAAACAAAAAGATACTCACATCATTGAATGCACAACACTTCTGGGCACAAGTTGAAGCTTCATCCCACAATTTGCACTTAAAATAGTACTGGGCCAGATAGCGGAAAGCAGTACTTTCTTCCAAGTGTTCCACTATTTCCTAGATAGGGAAAAAAAAAACTGAGATGATAAGGATAAGGTCAACAACACAGTTCTTATGTTCTGACACATACCCCACAGGAATAGATATCTTGGATATATTTGATGTAACACTGGGCAGCCTGTTCTGACTCAGTCAACTGTTCATGAAGCCTATAAAAGAAATTGGTCTTTAAGTAAAAATCAGAAATCAAAGTCACTGATCAAAAATAAAAGCATACAATTAAGACCAGAAAATGACAATACATAGCCAAGCACAAATTTTAACATAAAAGACACTGTGGGACCTAGAACAATGCTAGTGTTCACCACGTGATTGTTACTGTCATCAAAACTTAGCATCGTTATTTTGCTACTAGTGATGAGGAAGGGTTACTAAAAACTGAATCTGGATAACACATCTTCACAAAAATTCTCTAGTTAATACCCAGAATGAGACGTAAAATGATAGGAAGGGCTGGCCCCGCAGCCTTCTTTAACCCTATCTGGTTAAGAAAGCCTGATCCACATGGCTGATCTGAATCCTAGCCCGGCAGCTTGAGAAACACACTGAACATGTGTATGTACAGGTGAGCCCAGAATTCTGATGGGATGGAGAGATGGAGAAGGGATTGTGGCATGACCATGCTCTAATGGGAGTGGGAGAGGTGCTATTTCTCTCTCTCTTTCACCCTCATTGGTGTGCACATGTGCCCTCTGGCAATTAAAAAAGATAGGAAGCAAATCAGATTTTTTCCTACAAACCCAGAAAAATCTCAAAAGAACGAAATCATATTTAAGAACCTTTTTGCCAGGGCCAACAGATGGCATAGTGGTTACATCGCTGGACTCCCACAAGACTGACCATGGTTAAAGTCCCAGGTCCAGTGGCTTGACACGCCTGGCACATGTGTACGTGTGCCCCAAGATCCCAGGAAGAGAATGAAGAGAAGGGACTGCAGTGTGGCCATCTCTCTGGGGCCTCTCACTATCTCTGTCTCTGTCTCTTTCTCTCTAGCCAGCACATATGCCCTAAGGCAAAAACCTCAAAAAACTAACTAAATAAATAGGGACCAGCAGGTGGCATGGTGATTAAGGACGCTGGACTCCCATATGGTAAACCATGGTTCCAGTCTCAGACCTGGTGGCTTGCTTTCTCACTTTGTCTCTCTCTCTCTCACTCACTGTGTCCCTTGCTGGTAAAAGAAAGGAAATAAAGGAAAGAAAGAGAGGAAGAAAGGAAAGGAAGGAAGGGAGGAAGGAAGGAAGAAAGATAGATATATAAAATAATTCTTAATTAAATAAAGAACCTCTTTGCCTACTATTTCTGCATTATTCTTAATTTTCATAGCCCTTATCAGAAGAAGATATATTACTGCTTTTACACTATAATTTCTTCTTTTCTTTTTTGAATTCTTTCTTGATTTCTTGTCTTGCCAAACAGGAAAGTTGATTCCCTCTTCAAAGAGAAGTAGCATTCTCAAGAGTCAGGATGGCTAAATTCCCGGATAAGCATTCATGTGTAGGACAGTAGATGGGAGGTTTGAGAGCATACATGACCCATCACTCCAGAGAAGCTAACGTAAATAACAACAGCATTTCACTTACTTTGCTAGTTTCACCAGAGCCATTTTCTCCACGTCTCCCACGGCGTAAGCTCTCCAATAACACTGTCAAGAAAATAAACTTTGGCGATTGTCCTATGTGCTGCAACTAATCACATAAAAGCTAAGGCCCTGCAAGTCTCCCAAAAGTGCAGACTGCCATAGTGGAAGGCATTTGTACTAGTTCTGATAGGTCAAAGCTATATGTTAATATTCCCACTGATGATCTCAGTCCAGCTTTGCTTTTAGCTTATACAACTGTAAGCATTCAGACTTCCCTGTGCTCACAGATCAGAACGAAGGAAAAGTTACAGAACAGATAGCCCAACCTTCATCTAAACTTAGATTTCCATTCAAAATCTCTAGGACCCAATTTCAGGTACCTTTTTGGCTTCCACTAGTTGGTTCAGCTTCTCATAACATTCTCCTAAAGCAACCAGCATACGAGAATCATTGGGCCTGAAAATGAAGAATAGGCAGTCTGACCAAAGAATTTAATCAGTAACTTAAGTCCTCCCTTTAAGGACCCAGCACTACCACTATTTCAAAATAATGTAAAAATTAATTAATGTCTTTAATACTTCAAATAATTAGATTACTTTGTATTCATGATTAAACTGTTAGCCTATTAGTTGAATACACAAAATAAAAATGACCAAATCATATTTAGCAAGTTTAAAACTAAGGTCCTCCAAGGGTCAAAACTATTCACTGTTGTCAGTAGCTATCAGAAAACAAATCATCAGCCTTTCCCACATCAAAAACATTAAATATCAAGTGACTAGACTTACCGAAGCTGGTGGGCCCGTCTGTAATAATAAAGACAGTGAAATGGCATCTTAAGGATTTCATAGGTCTGTCCAAGGCCATACCAAGCTCTGTAGTCCCGCTTGTTGACTTCAATGGCATGTCTAAAGAATGGAAAAGACAAGATTGGTAAGAGGGCAGAATCAAAGTTAGCAATGTGATTGGTAAGAGGGCAGAATCAAAGTTAGCTCTGTATAGTTCCTAACATCACAGCGATTTGCTTCACTTCATTCCTCAACTAGATGCCCACCTGTAGGCCTGAATAGCAGCTGATGTGTTCTTCATTTCCATGTATTCATGTCCCATCAGTGTCCAAGCCCCAAGATACCGAGGATTCAATTTCAGAGCTCTCTGAAAATATAAGGCTGCCTTCTCATGCTGAGAGCGCAAGCTGTAATAATTGCCTGATTAAAAAACAAAACAAAATATAAATAACTAGAAAGTTAAAAATAAAAATCTAATAAATAAGAAAGCATTTCACCACGTGGGTATGACACTGTAATCCATTCCCCCTAAAATATGGGCAGAAAAGTAAAACTGTACAACACAGGGAATATCAACATTCCCTTGGGAAATACATTTCATCTATCACGATTATTATTCTAGTTTTAAATTTTTTTAAGTATCCCCCAAAAGTGCAATTTTTCCTTCATTTTATTTCATTTGCATAAAGCATTTCGTTTCTTTTCTTTTTTCCTTTTTTTTGAGAAACTTTTGCTATAGAGTTTATGCACTCACCAGAGAGACAGAGAGAGAGAGAGCAAAAAATAATTCCCCCAGGGGAGATGTCCACCCCTCAATCCCTTCTCGTCCATTCTCCTCTCAGGATTTTGGGTACGTACGCACATGTGCCAGTATGAGTTTTAAGCGGCCAGGTCCAGGTCTCAAACTGCAGTCAACTACGTGGGAGTCCAGTGACGTAACCTTTACACCATATGCTGGTCCCAGCATTTATTTTGTTAATAAAGGGTAAGAAATTTCTAGACTGTACTTTAGATTAGTGGTTTTGAAACTATATTCCCTATAGGCTAGGTTTCTAAGAGGTACTTCAACAGTTAAAAAGATAGAGACTTTGGGGGCCATTAGGTGGTGTGAAGTTTAAGGTGATTGCACCCCACATGGTCAACTGTGCAGTTAAGTCCCAGATCTGGTGGCTTGAACAATATGCAGGGCGCATGTGCATGTGTGTCCAAAATCCCAAGAAGAAATGGAAGAGTGATTGCTGCATGGCCATCCCCCCAGGGGGTGATTTCTGACTTTTCCTCTTTCTGATAAGCGCACACACCCTATAGCAAACTAAATTTATAACTTTTTTAAGAATTATTTTATTTAGGGACCAGCAGCTGGTATAATGGTTATGTCACTGAAACCCCACATGGCTGACTATAATTCAAGTTCCAGACCTGGTGGTTTAAAACTCACACTGGGCACATGTGCATAAATGTCAAAAATCCTGAGAGGAGAAGAGATTGCAGTGTGGTCATACCCACCTGGAGGGTGACTTCTGGCTTTCTGTCTCTCTGTCTCTCCAGTGAGCACATGTACCCTAAAGCAAATGGGGAGCAGCAGTTAGCGTAATGGCTATGTCGCTGGACTCCCATGTAGTAGACCATGGTTCAAGACCCGGACCTGGTGGCTTAAAACTCATGCCAGGGTGTGTGTGCGTGTGTGCCCAAGATCCTGAGAGGAGAATGGAGGAGAAGGGATTGTGGCGTGGCCATCCCCCCTGGAGGGTGATTTCTCACTTTCTGTCTCTCTGTCTCTCTCTGTCTGTTTGGTAAGCACACGCGCCATATAGCAAAAGCCTCTCACACACACAAAAAAACCCTCAACAAGTAATAAAACCTGTATACATATTTTTCTTATCTTTTAAATTTCAATTACAATTATTAATTTTTTAAAATTTTACTTATTTATTCATTTATTTTGACCAGAGAGAGACATACAGAGAGAGAGAGAGAGAGAGGGAAAATGAGAAAGAAAGCCGCCAGATCTGGGACTCAAACCAGTCGGTCATGTGGGAGTCCAGTGCCTCAACCACCAGGCCCCTTAATCTTAATTTTTTTCTTAACTGTCTAGATGCAGCCTTTAAGTTTAAGTCAGAAGAAATAAATTATATCAATTATCTATATTCCACATCCAATTAATTTAGTTCAAATTCTATTTCATGTTCATCTGGGAAAAAAAAAAAAAAAAAAAAAACAAGATAAAGGTAGTTATGTTTTACATGAAGATATCTTTGTTTCTACCACTAACTCAGACTCAGAGATAGAAGAGTAAACAGACTCTAGGTAGAGTGCCCCAAGGTTAACCTTTGTAAGAGAGTAGAAGTAATACAGTGGGGCCAGCAGGTGGCATGGTGGTTAGGTGCTAGATCCCACATGACCAATTAGATATTTCCAGTCCCAGACCCAGTGGCTTCTGTCTTTCTTCGATAAGTGCATGCACCCTGTGCCACATGCAAAAAATCTAAAAAAAAAAAAAAAAAAAAGCTATGCAGTGGTTACAAGGCTAAAAAATCCTAGCTGCTAAAGTAGTCAGGATAACAAAGGAGATGTTAACAAAGCAAGAACAGAGCTGGCTTCATAGCACAGTGGTAACATGCTGCTCAAGAGAATCCAAATCCAACATGGAACTATGGTTTAAATTCCTGGCCCAGTCAGCCTGAATCACACCAGGCACGTGTGCAAGTGCCCAGGATCTGATGGGCTGGAGTACTAA